CCCACAAGACCCCACTCCCTACACACTCACGCACACACACACTCATGAGACCCCCCACTCCTACACCCCCCCACAAGACCTCCACACACACACAGAGTAAATAAACAACAAATAGAGATTATTATTACTAGGATGAAATTGGTAACAATGAGAATAACTACTATTAATAGTAATAATACTAAATAATAAAAAGTAAGAGTGATGACAGTACATCTGTCATAAAGATTTTCCATTTCACAAGCCTGTCCTTCTGATAGATGAAGGGAACCAGTCAGCCAAGTCAGTTGCACTGAGGATCTCAATGGCTTGAGTGGAAAGGAAGCCTAGAAATTATTTCAGTCCGAGATGGTAAAACTGACAGGGGTCTGTGTCTCAGAGCAGCAGGGTGGCAGAAAGGCCTTGTAGGAAGGGACTTCAGCCCTAACTAAATGACAAGCTTACAAGTACTGGAAAAAGAGAAGCTAGGAGACCAAGAAGCATAGGGCTAAAGTGAGAATCGCCCAAGTCAAGCAGAATTAGACCGACTGGAGTCAAATATAACAAAGAGCAAAACGTTCTTCAGTGACATAAAAGAGAAAAAGGAAAGATTAGAGGGAGCTGCTAGGTCGTGAGGATGCACAGAAATTAAGGATGCTGTGTGTGCGAATCAAAGGCCAAAACAAAGTTAAATGTTCCTTCAATAAGGATGACCTTGAAATATGGTAAAGGCAAGATAGATAACAAGAACAAAGGCATCAAATGCAAATAACCTCAAATGAGATAGGAGCAAAAGTCAGACTATAATGCAGGGGTAGGCAACCCCTGGTACACATGGTAGAACGTGGCACGTGGAGGCATTTTACTTGGCACATGTGCCTCGGGGCAGGCAGCGGGGAGCCGCAAGGGGCCTGATCCTTGTAGCAGGGAACCCCGGGCCCCTTCCCCACTGTCCGCCTCAAAGTGCACATGCACTCACTGCCAGCAACAAGCTGGGCCAGGGCTCTGTGGATCCTAGTGCAGCTGCTTGCAGCCTCCCTACCACCTGCTGAAAGCAGCCCAAACTCCATAGTTGGTGGCAGGAGCCTGCAGAGCACAGACTGACTGTGGTAAGCAGCCAGGAGACTACAAGTGGCTGCATTAGGCTCTGCAGAGCCCCAGCCTAGATCACTGCTGGCGGCAGGAGCACACATGCCTTGGGGCAGATGGTGAGGAAGGGGCCGGGGCCAGGGCTGCATGGCCACAACAAGGATCAGGCCCCTCGCAGCTCTGATGTCTGCCCCTGGCATGCCAACATCTTCCAAGACAAGGTTGTGGGTTTTTCTGACCCAAAATGTTGCTGATCCCTGGTTTAATGCATTCAAGCTGAGCAGACCTGACAATTCCCAGAATTCTGAAAGAACTAGCCCTTTAAATAATAGGTCCAGTAGAAAACTTTTGATTACATCTACTAAGTTGGGTCTGGTACCATCTGATTACAAAACAGCAAATATGGTACCTATAGTTGAAAGGAAATTGTAATTTGGGCAACTACTCTCCTATTAGTTTTAAAACAAATTTTAAGAGAAAGAGCAACCAGAGTGGATGGGAATGGAAAATAGGGTAAAATTCAACATGGGATTGCCAAAAATAAGTTATGTCAAACTAACCTGACAGCTTTTTTTTGATAACTGATTTTCTAGACAGATTAAATATATTTGATCTCATTTTATCTGTGCTTCAGTAAATGCTACAGTACTGCATGAAAAATTATTAGCGAAGCTGGAGAAAATAAGGATTAGGAGAAAAATTATGAGGTCAGCAAGGACCTGGATAAAGAAAACACTGGGTAACCCTGAGAAGGAAAATATCAGGCTGAAAGGAGTTTACCAATGGAGTTTCTGAAGGACCAATTTTGGGACCAATCTTGTTTGTATTTTAATTAATGCTCCAGATATTTAAGTAAAAGTGTGGTGACTCCAAAGTGTAGGTTTCGTAGTTTCATAGTTTCTAGGGTTGGAAGGGACCTAAACAGATCTTCAAGTCTGACCCCCTGCCCTGGGCAGGAATGAGTGCTGGGATCATAATACCCCAGCAAGACATCTATCCAACCTCCTCTTGAAGACCCCCAAGGTAAAGGGAGAGCACCACCTCCCTTGGGAGCCCATTCCAGAGCCTGGCAGCCCTAACTATAAAGTAATGCCTCCTGATATCAAGCCTGAACCTGCTCCCAATTAATTTGTGGC